CACACTCCCAGACTTCAAACTATACTACAAAGCCATAATCATCAAAACTGCATGGTATTGGAACAAGAACAGACATACAGACCAATGGAATCGAATAGAAAATCCAGAAATAGGGCCTCCCCGGTGGCGCAGCGGTTGAGCGCTGGGTTGCGAACCTGCCCGCGGCCTCTGCGGCGCCGGTTCTATCCCCGGCTGCTCCCCGGCCACCGGAGGAGGGTCCCGCATGGCGCGCAGACCTCTCCTGCCGCCCGCTGCTCCCCTCAGCAGTGTACTTCGGTCCTTCTGCCTGCTCTGCTCCCCGCTCTGGCTCTGGTGAATTCTCTCACCCTCCCGCGCTTCTGACTGTACCCAGTGCATGTATAAACAAAAACAAACAAACAAACAGATAAATAAATAAATAAACATGCCTCTATAAAAAAAAAAAAAAAAAAAAAGAAAATCCAGAAATAAACCCACAGATTTATGGTCAACTAATCCTTGACAAAGGAGCAAAGACTATGCATTGGAGCAAAGAAAGTTTGTTCAATAAATGGTGCTGGGAAAACTGGGTCGCTACATGCAAAAGAATGAAGCTTGACCACTACCTCACACCATACACAAAAATCAACTCAAAATGGATTAAAGAACTAGACATAAGACCTGAAACCATAAAATACATAGAAGGAAATATAGGCGAAACACTACGGGATTTGTACATCAAAGACATCTTTACAGACACATCACCCAAAGCAGTGATAGTGAAGGCAAAGATAAACAGCTGGGACTACATCAAATTAAAGAGCTTCTGCACAGCAAAAGAGACAATAACAAAAACAAAGAGAAACCCCACCAACTGGGAGAACATTTTTGCACCCAACACTAATGATAAAGGACTGATCACAAAAATCTGCAAAGAGCTGATGAGACTCAGCAACAACAAAGAAAATAATCCAGTCAAAAAATGGGCAGAAGAGCTAAAAAGAAACTTCTCTGAAGAGGAAATGCAAATGGCCAACAGACATATGAAAAAATGTTCAACATCACTTGTAATCAGGGAAATGCAAATCAAAACTACCATGAGATACCATCTCACACCAGTGAGAATGGCACATATTAAAAAAACTAGCAACAACAAATGTTGGCGAGGATGTGGAGAAAAAGGAACTCTTCTGCACTGTTGGTGGGAGTGCAAACTGGTCCAACCACTATGGAGAGCTGTGTGGAGATTTCTGGACCTACTAAACATAGAGCTTCCATATGATCCAGCAATTCCACTCCTAGGTATTTACCCAAAGGACACAGAAACATCAATTCCAAAGAGCACCTGCACTCCTATGTTTATAGCAGCACTGTTTACAATAGCTAAGCTTTGGAAACAACCCAAATGCCCAAAAATAGATGACTGGATCAAGAAAATTTGGTACATATATACCATGGAATATTACTCAGCATTCAAAAAAGATAAACACATGCAATTTGCAGCAACATGGATGGCACTGGAAGGGATCATGCTCAGCGAAATAAGCCAAAAGAAAAAGAAAAATACCGGATGGTCTCACTCATAGCAGGAATCTAGAAAACTTAAATAAGGGACCAGGAAAATGAATATAAGAAAGTGAAAATCAAAATCAACAAAAAACTATGAACCAGAGACTCTTTTTGGGGGGTGGGGGGCGGGAGGGGAAGGATTGGGGTCAGAATGGGGCGTTTGCAATTGTATAGGGGAATATAAAAATAAAATTTAATATTAAAAAAAATAATAAAAATTAAAAAAAAAGAAACTTTGTTTTAATTGATATAAAGTTAGTTTCTATATAACTTAAATATGCCTTAAAATTCCAGAAATTAAGAAATTTAATTTCTAATCCTTCTAAAACATTCTATAAAAACTAACCCAAATGTTTTAAGAATTCAAGTTCACAGAATTTAGGTAAGTTTGGCAAATAAGACTAGTTTAATATTGTGGGTTTGATAAAAACAACTGTCTTCTGAGTTATCAGAGGCAATTATAAGCATCTACTAAATGTTTAATCATGAAAATTGTAAATTTGTGTTTAACCAAATTAAATCATTATTCAGACAAACTTTATTTCAATAGAATTATATTTTGTAGTTTGTCAGAACTTGAGATAGTCTCCAAGATCTTTTGGTAACTTAAAAATTTTGCCATATTAAATTCTAGGTATTCATTAAAAACATATATCATTTATAATAAAATAGGAATATAAAAAATTAAGAGCATATTTTTATGGCTCTAAATAATTTGGTCTGTAAATAAAGGTGTCATTTTTTGCCACTTTGATAAATTGTACTATGAGGGCATATATGGCTATAAAAACTTGAGATAACTATTGATGGAGGAAAGGAGATAAAAAGACAAGAACTTAACTCACACAAGGAGGTAGGGGTAGAAAGGATTAGCGTAATCCATTAACCCAGTTATAGAAACCAAGACCCTTAGGCATCAACGCCCAGATCAGGAGGTGCAACACCCAAAAAGTATCAAACTGCTATAGGGAGTGTCACGGGCACAAACCATCCACCCACAAAGATGAGTCCCTCCCTGAAGATAATAAAACCTAATGGTGCTCCCACAATGGGACAGCAGTCCTTCTGCTCAACTGTGACTTTACAGGTGCTTCCTTTCATCAACTCTCTCCCTCTGCAGAGCAGCCTCCCTGCCTGCCCGTGACCTGTACCATGCCTGGATTTTGCTTCACTGATCTCCCTCAATGGAGGCAGCTCTCCTCAAGGCCGCCCGCCTGCAACCACGCAGGCTTCTCTTAGCAAACCTGCCCCTTTTGGGGCAGGTCTTCCTGCCTGCCTGTGTCTATGCAAGTGTCTTCTATTGACCTATCCCTTTACCTACCATCCCTGTCTCATGGAGAAACTTGCCTGGGAAATTCGCCGTGTGCTGCTGAAACGGGAGCTCTGGTGAAACCTTTGCCAGAGTGAAACCAAGAACCCCGCACTCCTAATTCCAAAAACCCTATCATATTCGTAAGCTTATATACAAAATATTGGTGTATGACAGTTCACAATTGCCTGCTTCATGGTTATCTCTGTGAAATAGAAGTTATTGTGGTTAAAAGTTATGACCAGTATATATGAATGAGACACTGGAAGAAATAATCACAGAGGAAAATAAGTGTATTCAAGGTATATAGGATGTACTTTTATAAAAGGAAAGGAGATAAAAGGAAAGGAGAATAGTTTTGTCTTAAAGTAAAATAATTGGTTCCTCATTGTTAGATTGAGGAAGAGGATTGTGTAAGGATAAAACCTAAATGGATTTAGAAAGTGGTAGAAGGCTCACAGGAAGAGAATTTTGTTATTATTATTAGCTTATTTGTAAATTTTCTTTAAAAAATCTTTAATATCAAATACTATACTGATGCAAAATGAAGATTTCATTTTCCTCTGCTAAATGACAAAATGTTATTGGATTATTTGCTTCTTAAAAGTCTATGAAAGGAGGTGCGTTGGTGGTATAGTGGTGAGCATAGCTGCCTTCCAAAAGTCTATGAAAGGGTTTTCTTTACCTTCTGAGAATCTGCCTAGAAAGCAAAGATTCTGTGTCTTACCAGAATGCCTTCCTGTTTATGTTAGCTTGTCCTTGACTACTTAAAGGGACATAGCTTTCTCACTTTTGGAAAAGCTACGGTTCTTGATAGCTATGTTAACTTCTATTTATTTATTTTTATTACCACTTTGATTGTTGCTTTATTTTGTTTTGCATACCATAGAAACAACCAACTTTCTGACACTTGCATCATTGTAATGAACTGAGCAGATCTTTCACTTTTGAAAATTATTAATAAACAAAACAGTCATTTTTTTACAGATTTATTTATTTATGCATAAAAGAGCTTGGGTGCAGGCAGAGATGCAGGGGGTAAGAGGATTCACCAGAAATAGTGGGGAGCAGAAGAGGCAGATCTACTGAAATACATTGCTGAAGGGAGCAGTGGGCAATCAGGAGAGGTCTGCTGAGCTATGTGGTTCACCTCCCTGGCCAGGGATTGAACTCATGCTGCAGTGGCTGCGGATAGCTTCATAGTGCTGCATCTTAACCCCTTGTGCCACCAGGGAAGCCCAAACACAGTCATTTTTAAGTCTTTTGTTATTGACAGATAATTTTTGTTTTACTCTGATGTTTCCCTGAAAGCATTTGCAAATTATTTATAGACCAGAGTGCTTCGATTATAACAAAGGAAAAGGGCTATGCCAAGAACTCTTGTGCACACATTTCTGATGTCATTGCTTAAACAACTTTGAGACCGTACCACTGGACTGACTCAGGATTTTCAGCACTGTAATAAAGAAACTCATGTGTTCATGCAACTACTAACCCAGATGGAACAGAACAAGAATGACAGAGAACTGGATGAACGGATGAGGGATGATTTGAGTCTTCCTTGGATTGTTGCTGATACCACAATGTTCTATTTTATCAATAAAAGAAACTCCTTTCTCTTTTCTCTTAAGTTATCTCTAACCAACACTTGGATGACTAAGCTTTCAAAAAACAGAAATAAAACATTTATCTTTTCTGATTTCTCCAGAATACCCTCATTGAATATTTTTATTTTCATGGCATCATAGTTGTTTGCAAACATTTAGTAGGAACTGACCTCCTTGTTAAGAGGATATAACAGAAAACATAGTTTATACAACAAAGACTTTATTCAGAATGTTATGTTTGAGAATGAATTAGATATAAGCAGTCAGTTTTAAGGAACTAAGATTGACTTTATGAATTCAGTGGTTTAAAAGCCTCCTTTGGAAACAGGCGTGGTACCTGGCTTACAAAGTCCCCAGATTTATAGGTGAGTTCTTTTCCTGGTGGGTTTAGGAAACTTGAGCCATTTGATGGACCTCAAGAAGAGAGAAATTCACCCAGATCTATAAGCAAAGTAGTTGAAACCTAGTGATAAGTTCCTAGTCTGACTTTTTGGAATCAAAAAACTTTTAAAGAGCCATTGTGAGATTCTTTTTTTTTTTTTTTTTTTTTTTTTTGGGCGTAATTCACTTTATTTCCTGGTATAAACTCTACTATGTGGTGGCCACAGCTGGCGCCTGGGTTCTCTGCACAGAGACTCTTGTGTGGGTCTTCACCAGGTGGTCAGTGAATTCCTGGTAAGGAGACTTGGTGAACACTGTCTCTTTCCAGAGGTCGGGAGTGAGATAGCTGTAGGTCTTGGAGATGGCATCAAAGGTGGCCTTGGCAAAATTGCCCAGGGTGGCGGTGCAGCCCCTGGCCGAGGTGTAGCAGTCATCGATACCGGCCATCATCAACAGCTTCTTGGGCACAGGCGCAGATACGATGCCAGTGCCCCTGGGGGCGGGGATGAGGCGCACCAGCACAGAGCCACAGCGGCCAGTCACCTTGCAAGGGACGGTGTGGGGCTTGCCGATCTTGTTCCCCCAGTAGCCTCGCCGCACAGGGACGATGGAGAGCTTAGCCAGGATGATGGCGCCGCGGATAGCGGTGGCTACCTCCTTGGAGCATTTAACGCCCAAACCAACATGTCCGTTGTAGTCCCCAATGGCCACAAACGCCTTGAATCTGGTGCGCTGCCCAGCGCGGGTCTGCTTCTGCACGGGCATGATCTTCAAAACCTCGTCCTTGAGGGACGGCCCCAGGAAGAAGTCAATGATCTCGGATTCCTTGATGGGCAGGGAGAAGAGGTAGATCTCCTCCAGCGACTTGATCTTCATGTCCTTGACCAGGCGGCCCAGCTTGGTGACGGGGATCCACTCCTTGTCCTCGGCCTTGCCTCCGCGAGCCCCGCGGCCGCGGCCGCGGCCCGGCCCCGCCCCCGGCCGCGACCCCGGGGCCCGCTGCCGAAGCCTCCGCGGAAGCCGCCGCGGCCTCCCATTCCAGGGCCCCCCGGGCCTCCGGGCCCTCCCGCAGCACCGGCGTCGTCCGCCATTTGGTGTGTTCGCGGAGAAGAAGCCATTGTGAGATTCTTTATAAATACATTCAGCAAAGCAAACTTTTAAAGGCCCAATCATTAAATCACCATTCTTGCTGCACTTGTGTAAACAAAGTCCTATCTAATAAGGCCAGCTTTACTTCATGATCGAAATAATCTTTGTGATTATCTTTGCTTAAAAGGTGGAGGGGAGGCCTAACTGTAGAGATAATTGTGCGTTATCAGATTCTGGCCTGTTTGTTGTTTTTTAAGCTGGTTTGAGCCTCTTTGTAATTGTAGGTAACTGATGACTATCAATACCTAGATGTGCAGGGGTGGAGGGAAGTGGTCACAAATTTTAAGCAGACAATAATATCTTAGTTTCATTTTACAGGCAAAGAGGCAATAACATAAAACTACAGGACTTGCTGACTGTCAGCACCACTGGTAAGTAGAGTTGGGAATCCAACTAGGTGCTAGCTCTGATCTCATAGAAAATAGTGCTCTTTCCAGCACAAACATGTTAAATCCTATCTACAATGTTTGTAGATAGTGGAAAAACACTCTCTAATGTTCTAAGAAAAGGTAACTGGATCCAAGAATGAAAAAAAACCAAAAAACCAAAAAACCAATGGTATCCCCAGCCCATCTGAGAAACTTCTAGAAATGAAATGAAAATACTCCCTCCCATCCCTGAAATAAGGTCAAGCAAAGCCTATTCATTCAACACTTACTCTCACAAAGGAGTCAGCTGCCATCCCTTGCATTTGGCAGAGATTCAAAAGCAAGCAGAGGATTGGGAAAATTTTGTAGAAGAAAGGGATTATTTCAGATGTGCCCTGGGTGGGGGCTATAGGGAGAGCTATAGGCAGGCTAACTAGAAGTGAGGCATCCAATATACATCCAGTGTACATTAACTTTCTCCTCTTAGATAAAGTGGCAAGTCCACTAGAAATGGACAGAAAATAAAGGAAACCATCAGTTATTAATTGAGTCCTCTCTGGTTGCCATAGGGATTGTGCTTGGCTTATGGACTGGTAAATTCACTCAACAATTTTCCCAAGTTATCTGGGCTATCTTTGCTCTGAGCTTGCAAATGCTATTCCTTTTGTCTAGAAAAGTGAGTTCCTACTTTCACTATCATCTCTTCTAGGATGGCTTTCCTCACACTGCAGGCTTGGGTCCTCAACCTGCACTTGACCCCCCCATAGGGGCCCTTTGTGTACCTTTCCCAGACTATGCATGTGCTTCTACTCTAGGCTTTTGCTGTTCTGTTTTGCTTCTTTTTTTGTTTTTGTTTCTTTACTCCAAATGAACACAAGATCCTAAAGACCATCTCTAGAGCTTGGTTTTTATTGTCTGTCCCATTTCTTTTTTTTTTTTTAAGATTTATTTTATTTATGCATACAAGAGCTGGGGTATAGGCCAGAAGTGTGGGGGATGAGAAGAATCACCAGAGACAGAGTGGGGAGTAGAAAAGATGGATGGATTGAAATACACTGCTGAGGGGAGCAGCGGGTGAGACAGGAGAGGTTGGCTGCGCCATGTGGGTTATCTCCCTGGCTGGGCATCGAACTTGTGCTGCAGTGGCTGCAGATAGCTTCATAGTGCTGAGACTAATCCCTTGTGCCAACAGGGAAACTATTCCCTTGTGCCAACTAATCCCTTGTGTCCCATTTCTAACACAAAACCCCTCAGATATTTGGAGGCATGCATTGAGCAAAGGGCAATATAGGGAGGAAGCAGGTGATGCCAGGCCCATAACTGAAAAGAGAAGTGGGAGTTTTGGCAAGAAGTCAACAGGAAAGGCAGTCCTAGCAGGGCTATTAGCAGGAACAAAGTATGGGGAGAGGGGAAGTAGATATGGGTAGGGAAAGAAAGGCATACAACTTGTATTGTTGAGGATAAAAAACAAAGCAGAATTAGGCAGGACATAGCCCTGAGACTCAACAGGACTACATAAATATTCCAGTGGTCACTTATAACAGTTTAACTCCAAGCAAGTTATTTGCTCTCTCTGCCTCAGTTTCTTTACCTGTAAGCTGGACATCGTACAGTCATACTCATTTAAATTCTAACAAGGTTTAAGTGAGTTAACATCCGTGGAACATTTAGAAGAGTGAAAACTATGAAAGCACTTACTATTTTTATATTATGTTAAAGGCTTCATCTTATAGGTAAAACGGGGCTGATGCTTCTAAGCAGGAATGAGCTATGGTTAGCTTTTTAGAAAGTTTTGTTGGAGTGAGGGGTGGTGGGACAGAGGTCAGAAAGGCATGATAATCCAAATCCTACAATAATCCAAAGAGCGATAAGGACTGATCTGACCTGGGGCATGAGCGGAGAGGACAACAAGGATTAAGCAGCTTTAAGCAGGAAAAATTAGATAGACTTAGTGTCTGGCTAGAATGAGGTGGGCAGGACTGCAAAAAGTGCAGGAGACAGCCCAGATTGCTGGCTTAGGCAATTTGGGAGGGTAAGATACAGAAAGACAGGAGCACTAAGACTTCTAGTGTGTCAGGCACAAGCTAGACATCTGATACCAAGAAATGCTGAGGAACTGTGTGGGGGCCACAGCAAACAAGTTGCCGAAGGATATTTGAAATTTTCTTATAATCCCCAGTCCACACGCTTCCCCACACATCACTTGTAATCCAAGAAATGGGTCCCTTCAGGGATAAGATATCTGCCTCTCACATCACAGCTCATAATCCTTAAACAAGACCAACAAGAAAAATTCAGGCACCGAGGAAGGTAGGAGGGGAGAATTTTGAACTGCTAGGGCACTCTCCCAACAAAAATAATAAAAGTGTCCCAACTTAAGCCACCTCACATCGGCAAATGTCTATTATTACATTCATTTGATATAATCTGTGTACTACAAACTTAAATACTTTGATTCTAACATCTATGTTTATTGCTGGAGGTTTATTTCTTCATGTTTATTTCTTAAATTTTAGAAAGGATTCTCACGTTTACTTCTTACCTTTCAAAACTGCCATGAAGTATAAGAAATGAAAACTAAAACCCTTTGCAATTATATATTCAAGATTTTCAAATATTTCCCCCAATGTCATTTCAAGAAACTGCTTTGGGTTTTGTTATTATGCAGTAACTGGCTTGATAAATACGTGCCGAATGAAAGATTTAGTGAAGCCTATAAGAAAGTGGAATGAGGGCTCCCTGGTGGTGCAGGGGTTAAGGACAGAACTATCAAGCTATGGCCAGCCACTGCAGCACCAGTTCAATCACCAGCTGGCCAGGGAGCAACGCACATGGCACAGCAGACCACTCCTGCCTTGCCCGCTGCTCCCCTCAGCAGTGTATTACAGTAGATCTGCCTGTTCTGCTCCCCATTCTCTCTGGTGAATCCTCTCACCTCTCCCACAACTCTGACCTGTACCCCAGTTCTTGTATGCATAAATAAATAAATCTTTAAAAAAAAAAAAAGTGGAATGAATCCTCAAATAGTAAAAATCAAGGAAGGAAGAGCCAACATATTCCCTTCTCTCAAGCCCACAGCCCCTCCAAGCATCCAGTCAGAGCAGTAGAAAGAGGCACTCTCAACCTCGGTGCTCCCAGCTTCTCTCTGCCATAAAACTGTCCAGAGCCTGGTCATGTTTTTGCTTTGCGGAATACACAGGTCCCTATGTGATTGAACTTTGTGGGGGAAGGAAGACTGGCTTCTTGCAGGAAGGTTCATCCAAAGTGAAGGAAACTGTGCAATTAATGGACTGGCCGTCAGTCCTTGATAATATTTATCAGGAAATTCACTTCCTGTCCGTAATCAAAGCAGGATTCTCTTAAAGAGATGAGAATGGTTTGGGCATGTTAGGGGCCAGCAGGGAGGAAATGACAAAGAGCAGTAATGAAAGCTGTTGCCCAGTGTCTCTGCCTCATGGTTCAATTTTGTCCAGTTTCAATTTCTGGGCAAGTTGGGGGAAGGCTATGGGGCTGATACATATGTGGACCTGATAGGTACAAAGTTTCTGCTCAGTTTTTCGGACTGACAGATATATTATCTCATTTTCAAGTGATGATTTAGTAAGAATCAAGCTTGTAAGTAATTCTTCTGAAAACTCAAAAAGGAGATAATATAAAACTCAGAATAATCTGAAAGGTAACCATACATGTTTTATTTGCAGCATTCTGCAAATGACACTACTGCCAAGAAAAGTAGTGGAAGAAAGTAATTGTCTTTTTTTCAATTGCAGTTTTAGAAAGTGAATATTGAAAAAGAAAAAGTAAGAGATATGACAAAATATTGATGTCTATCATCACAGCTTAATATTATGACAATTTCTGGTGCTGTAGAGCCAGTGAATACAGAAATATGTAATAGCAGAGTTCACATATTGAGAGCTTGACTCATCCTAGTTCTAAGTCCCTGTTCTAAGAGCTTCAGAGATAGTAACAAATAATATTTCCACAGAACTCTATGAAGAAGATGAGAAAATGGATTCTGAGTGGCTATGCAATTTCTCCCGGAATAGGAGTATCAGAGGCAGTATCTGAAATGAAGCACTCAGGTTCCAGCGCCCAACCTCTCACCAGGGATTGTCAAGAGATACACAGGCAGCTACAACAAAAGCATATGTTAAATTGAAAAAAAAAACCAAAAAAACCCAAAAAGGGCCTCCCCGGTGGCACAGCGGGTTGAGTGCAGCGCTGTGAAGCTGTCCACAGCCTCTGCAGCACAGGTTCGATTCCCGGCCTGCCAGGGAGATTCCCACATGGCATGGCAGACCTCTCCTGTCGTGCCTGCTGCTCCCTACAGCAGTGTACTTCGGTCCTTCTGCCTGTTCTGCTCCCTGTTCTGTCACTGGTGAATCCTCTCACCCTCCTGCACCTCTGGCCTGTACCCTAGCTCTTGTATAAAAATAAATAAATCTTTAAAAATAAATAAATAAATAAATAAATGGGAAAAAAAAAGAATAGATAGAGCCACATCCAATATCAACTGAACTGTTTACTCTGGTTTCTCTGTAGCTATATTTGACAAGGGCAAATTCTGGAGGAGAAACTTTCTCAGAAAC